TTTCTGTTTAAACCAACCAACCAACCAACCAACCAAACAAACCTGTTGCCGTTGAGTCGATTCTGACTCATAGTGACCTTATAGGACAGAGTAGAAATGCCCCCATAGGGTTTCCAAGGAGTGGCTGGGGGATTCAAACTGCCAACCTTTTGGTTAGCAGCCGTAGCTCTTAACTACTAAGCCACCAGGGCTCTCTCTCTCTGTGTATATATATATATATATATATATTGCATTAACATTGTACTCACAGCCAACAGCAGTATAGCTCATGCCTGAACAAAGCTTATCTAAGACACATATTTTCTTTGTAAAGCACATCACAGCATTCTTGTGCTTAGGAACACTAGACAGCACTTCAACACTATGCTTGGGGGCCATTTTAAAAAGTGAAAAATCACCATGGAAAAGCACAAAAATGCAAAAAACATGGAACTAAATAGACCAGGAAAAAGACATGTTTACAGTATGAAAGCTGAAACAAGAAGGCTGAGTGTCATCTTGTTTGACCTCAGCTGGGAAAATGTGGGTTGGATGACTCAAATTTTTCGCCACTCTGTACATGTCTGCAAATGACAGCGAAAGTGCCAGGAGTATTGATTTTGGGGTTACAAATAAATTTTAGTGAGTAGGCAAATTTGCAAATATGGAACCTATGAATAATGAGATCAACTGTACTGGCACACTCAGAATAGAATCCAAAGTCCTTACCATGACTGACAAGGTCCCCCACAATCTGGCCCCTGGCCACCTTGTCAGCCTCATCCCCTGCCGTACTCTCCCTTGTTTATTTGACTCTAGCCATCATGACCTCCTTGCTCTTGAAAACACCAAGCATTCTCCTATCTTGGGCCTTCTCACTTGCTGTTCTCTCTGCCTGGCATGCTCTTCTGCAAGATATTTACATAGATCGTGCTCTCACTTCATTCACATTTCTGATAAAATTCAGTGAGGCCTTGTCTGACCATTCTATCTAAAATAGCACCTGCCCTATCAATTTCTATTCTCTTATCCTGCTTAGCATTTACCATTACCTGACGTTGTTATTAGGTGCCATCAAGTCGGTTCTGACTCATAGCGACCATATGTACTACAGAACGAAACACTGCCTGGTCCTGCGCCTCTGTGTGTGTGTGTACCTGACATTAGATTATATTTATTTGCTTATTGCTTTGGGTCTTTGCAGATGTAATTACTTAAGGATCTTGAGAAGAAATCATCATGGATGTAGGGTAGGCCCTAAATCCAATGACTGGTGTCTTTATAAGGGAAAAGAAAGAGAGATTTGGACAGAGACATACAGGGAAGATGGCCATGTGAAGACAGGGGCAGAGATTAGAGTGGTATGTCTACAAGTCAAGAAAAGTCTGAGGCCACCAGAAGCTGAAAGAGGCAAAAAAGGATTCTTCCCTAGAGCCTTCAGAGAGACCATGGTTCTATTGACGCCTAGATTTTGGACTCTTAGCAGTCAGAACTGTGAGAGAATAAATTTCTGCTGTGCTTTTTAAAAAAATAATAATATTTTATTGTGTTTTAAGTGGAAGTTTACAGAACAAGTGTTATGGATTGAATTGTTGTTGTTGTTATGTGCTGTCAAGTCGATTCCAACTCACAGTGACCCTATAGGACAGAGTAGAACTGCCCCATAGGGTTTCAACTGGTGGATTCGAATTGCTGACCTTTTGGTTAGCAGCCTGAGATCTTAACTATTTCACCACAAGGGTGCCTATGGATTGAATTATATCCCCCAGAAATATGTGTTGTAAATCCTAACCTCTATACCTGTGGTGATAATACCATTTGGGAATGGGTTCTCTTTGTTATGTTAATGATGCAGGGTTAGTGTAGGGTGTATCTTGAGTCAATCTCTTTTGAGATATAAAAGAGATTGAACAAGGGAGCAGAGCAGAGATGGGGAAGATTGATGCCAAGCCACATGGAGATTCCAAGAAACCAGGAAATAGAAGCTGGAGACAAAGACCTTCCCCCAGAGCTAATAGAGAAAGCTTTCCCTTAGAGCTGGTGCCCTGAATTCAGACTTCTAGCCTCCTAAACTGTAAGAAAATAAATTCTGTTTGTTAAAGCCATCCACTTGTGGTATTTCTGTTATAGCAGCACTAGGTAACTAAGACAGCAAGTTAGGTTCCCATTTAACTATTACTGCACATATTGTTCAGAGACATTGGTTACATTTTTCATAATGTTTTAATTAACATTTTCATTGATTCCCTTCTGGATGTTTTGCTTCCAGTAAACTGGTTTCCCTGTCCCCTTACCCTTTCATCTTTGCTTTAGAGTAATTGTTGATCATTTAAAATTATGCTGTTTTAATACACCCAGTTTGAGTACTTTGTTATGGTAGTCCTAGGAAATGAAGACACCCACTTTTTAATATGGATGCCACTTGTCTTAATTTATATGTAGGGGTATTACACCATTGCCTTCCAGTCCATGCATGTAAGATAAACACTTGCGTGCAGAAAGTATCTTCATTCAGGCTTGTAAAATCCTTCATATGGAAGATTAATTAGGGAAATCTTTATATTCTGTATAAAAACAAAATCAAATTTATATACTAAAATCCTTAGTAGACCATTAGCCTACTAATTTGTCTTCCATTTCCATATTTAACTCCCTGATCCATTTTATATATAGCAGCCAAAGGCAATTTCTTAAACAAGTGTAAAAATGATGTCGGGGTGGTGTTTGACCTCTTCTAACTTCACAAGGGGGAAGGAGACTCAAGATCAACAGCCCAGGGCTGTTTATTATGAGGCAGAGGCCAGACATGCCTCCTCTCTCCTCCATCTTTACCAATTCTGACACCAACTATCCCTCCCACGGCACTCTCTACTTCTCTGCTGGGTTTGATAATTCATTGCAATGGCCACACAGAACTCACAGACAATACTCATAACTATGGGGTTTATTAGGGAAGTTAACAGGTTACAATTCAGGTTCAGGAATGCTCAGGATACAGTTCTTCTATCAGGGCAGCCTCTTTTCAGCTGTGCCTGCAGGCAACGTCTCTCTGGCCCCTCAGCCTCTGCCCTTCTCTGGCAAGTGTTACAAAGCTGTTTTAGCTCTGCTGATAAGTGCCCAGAGGCACCCCACTCTCCCAGTAAGCCTCCTGCCCGAAGGCACTCAGCTGTAGGTCTGTGAGCTGGGAAGCCCACTTCGCTGTCTCCTGCTGGTCTCCTGGTTCTTCTGCTGTTTCTCTGTCGCCACTTCTCGTTGTCTTCAGCATTACACCTCTGTCTCTCTCTGTCTTCTGGTTCCCAGAGCTTCTCAGCACAGGGATCCCAGGTCCAAAGGACGTGCTCTGCTCCTGACTCTTCTTCCTTCTTGGTGGTAATAGCCTCTTCCTGCTCTTGAAATGGCTCTCTTTTAAGCCTAGCAAGATAGCACAATTGACCAATCCCCTTGGTGTGCCACAATTACCGTATGTGCACAGTCCCACTCAATCACTTGGGTGGGAGTTACAAGACCATGGTGAGAAAGGCCACACAAAAGTGATCCATTCCACTGCAACATGAATCCGACAACCCTCCCCTGCTTAATATCCTCCAACGGCTTCCCATTATACTTAGAATAAAAACCAGACTTGACCTAGAAGTCCTTGTATAACTTAGCCCCTGCCTGTCTCTTTAGATTGATATTAAAGACCACATTGGTCTTCTTTAGGTTCTTGAAATATACCTTTTTTTTCCTCCCTATTCAGGACTCTTCTCCTAGAATCTTCTTTTCCCAATCCCACCCCTCAATATTTGTGGATAGAATGGCATGTGTGAAGTCACTGCCTGTGTTAGCCCCCTTCTTGTCCTTTAGGTTGCACCTTACATGTCACCTCTCCAAAGGGCCCTACCTGGCCACACTGTCTAGTTTCCCATGTTATTCGCTAGCTTAGCTATTGTTTCTTTCATAGCACTCACCACAATTTCTTTTTCATTGCTTTAGTAGACTTTTGTGTGCTTACCCCACCATCCTGTGCACTCTGTGAAGGCAGTATCCACATCTATCTTGTGTCCAGAAATAGTAGACACTCAATGAGTCTTTGCTAACTGAATGAAAAGGGAGGCAATCCTTCAACATCCTGTCTCCTTCCAGGCAACCCAGGAGCATCCACACCTTCTCTTTGGACGCAGTGGAAGAGGAGTCCTTTAGCCACGGCCATTCTCTCCCACTTTCTCAGGAAATTCCCTGTATCCTTGATTCTTTCTCTGTATCTTTACTAATTCTTTCCTATCAATATTCAAAGATGTTCCCATGAAACAAAGAAACAAGACCGCCAAACCCTCCTTCCACCTCTATCTCTACCAGGCCTCAGGTCAGTGTTTGACTACCCTCGTTCCTTGATTTTCAGGCCTCTACTGTCTCTTGCATTTGTCTATCTCGGATTGCTCTTTCTCAGGCACCGTTTAAAAAAACAGTTGCCTTCAAGTCAACTCTGACTCTTGGCAACCACATGTTGTCAGAATAGAATTGTGCTTCATAGGGTTTTCAATGGCTGATTTTTTTTGAAGCATATCACCAGACCTTTCTTCTGAGGGGCCTGTCAAATGTTGGGATCCTCCAAGGCCCTGTGCTTTTCACTTCCCTGTGAAAAAGGGATCCTCATGCAGGAGTCAGGGAAGGAGGGGTTCTGAGAAGCCCCGACAATGGAGTGCTGAGGCATGAGATTGGGGTGAATGGGGGTAAGGAGCCGAATAAGAACAGTCCCTAGGTCAGAGATCACAGAGGCCCAGCGTTGAAAAGGGCAGTCCGCCACTGTGACGTGCTGGGGGAAGAGCCAGACGGCGGGAGGCCTGGCACCTCCCGCACAGCAGGAAAACCGCGCGCGCGTAAGTGCGCGCGGTGGAATCTTGCGCCTGCGCCACGGTTGCCCAGCTACCGCCAGAAAAAGTACAACGTCGTAAGGCCGGAGGGGTGGGGGTGGGGGGTGGGGGCGTAGCAGCGGAGACTCCGGAAACGCACCTTCACCCGGAAATAGTTGTCGAGGAACATGGCGTTACTGGTGCGAGTCCTTGTGAGTGAAGGAGTAAATTTCAATGGTCGCCCTCTGGGCCCTGGGGTTGGAATTTGAGAAGGCGGGGCGGGCGGAACTGAAAAGAAAAGCAAAAGTGCGCTAACTAGGCTGCGCGGCTGCTTTTCCGCGGGGAAACTGAGGCAGCCTCCCCCGATTTGGGTTTGATTTTGGTTTCGAGGAGGATAGTGACAAGCGGACCTTTATTTGATGGGGCTTGCCTTTCCTTCTTCACCACCTGCAACCTTTCCTGTCAAGGATAGGCAGCACGTGGGGCACTGATTGGAGTTTCAGGAGTCCTGGGTTCTAGTTCCTGTTCTGTCACTGATCGATGCACAGTGTGTCCTTGGGTAAGTCACTTTCGGGCCTCAGTTTCCCCGTGTGAAAAACGAGGACTTTAATTTCCTGCGGTCCCTTCGGATTCTTAGGTTCTCTGGGTTTGTTTCAGAGATCAGTAAGTCAATTCGTAACCGTACTGTTGTAGTGGAGTACTATTAGAGATTAGATTGAAAGTTGTACTAGAACTGGGGTCTGTCTGTCGTTTTTACTTTGCCTAGCACAGTGCCATAGGTGTTCAGTAAATACTTGCTGAATGAATGAAGTAAGGAAAGTTAGGACTACTAGACTCTTTAGGACCCATGTGGAAAGTTACTGCACCTCTTAAGAGTCTGTTCAAATCCTTTTAGCATATTCTAGCCTCTAGGAATTAAGGAGAAAGAAAGTGGCAGCAGAAGAAAGGCTAGGAGGTTACAGAGTTTAGTGCCTAATTATGGAGGGATGGGAGGGTTTATGATTTTAGCCGGTCTTTAAAAAACTGGGTCAAAGACATTGTAGCAGACACTGTCTCTTCCAGCCTCTGGCTATCTTTTGAGTTGTTATTCTACACTTTTGTTTTTAATCTTTTTATGTATGGCTTACATGGACTACACTTTTTCTTGTATTCCATAGCAGCCTAGCAAAGTGCAGTACCCTCGATTGATGCTCAGTAAATACTTGTTTGAAGAATAACTGCTACAACCTACAGAAAGATTTACTTGGTGAAGTAACTGTTGATGCCATGGCGGAAATTGATTCAGATCTGATCACTGCTGGGGAAATGGCAACTGGGATGTCCCGTATTAATTTTTAAGATGGATATTTGAGGAAAAAGATGAAAAGTTTATTGGGCTTGAGACCTGAAATGAACACCTTGATTTGTCTTGGAAGCTAGTAGCTGGCTCAGCTAATTTAAATATTCTTGCTCCTGAGCATGTGGGCTTTTGTTGCAGGTTCATTTCTTCTTAGGTGGTAGCTGCTACCTCTCCATCTCCCCTGTCTCAGTTGAATCTTCTTTCTTTTTTCAAATTCACCCTTTTCTATTTATCTGGTGAGTTAAAAAGCAAGTTTAGAGAATGTAAATCACTTTCACTTTATACTGTGATTCCCTGTAGTGTGTGACAAAGCAACAGAAACACCGTTAGTTTTGAAAGTGGCAGTAGACATGAGAGTAGTAGATATTTATTGATCACCTATTCTGAAGAGACATTTGGGCTAAGCACTTTGAGGAGTTCACAGGTACAGAAAAGTGCCCTTGTCTAGGAGTCTGAAGGACCTTGACTGAAACCTTGCCTCTGCTGCTTCCTATTGGTGTGACCTTGAGCAAGTCACCTAACTTTTCTGAGCCTTAGATTTTCTTTTTTTTTTTTTTTCTAATTGTGCTTTAGGTAAAAGTTTACAGCTCAAGTTAATTTCTCATTCAAAAATTTATACACATATTGTTTTGTAACATTGGTTGCAATCCCCACAATGTGAATACATACTCCCCCTTTCCACCCCAGGTTCCCTGTGTCCATTCGTCCAGTTCCTCTTCTCATTCTGCTTTTGGATGGGAGCTGCTCATTTGGTCTCATACATTGTTAGAAGCATGTGCCTCACGTGTGTTATTTTTTTATAGATCTGTCTAATCTTTGTCTGAAAATTGGGCTTTGGGAATGGTTTCAGTTCTGGGTTAGAGCTTTGGGGGCCATAGTTTTGTGGGTTCCTCCAATCTCTATCAGACCCGTAAGTCTGGTCTTTTTATGTGAATTTGAAATCTCTCTTACCTTTTTCTCCTGCTGTGTCCGGAACTCTCTGTCATGATCTCTGTCAGGGTGGTTGTTGGTGGTAGCCAGGCACCATCTGGTTCTTTTAGTATCAGGCTGGTGGAGTCTCTGGTTCACGTGGTCCTTTAGTTCTTTGGGCTAATATTTTCCCTGTGTCTTTGGTTTTCTTCTTTCTCCTTTGCTCCGAGTGGTATGGGACCAATTGATGTATCTTAGATGACTGCTTGCAGGCTTTTTTAAGACCCCAGGCGCTACTCACCAAAGTGAGATGTAGAATGTTTTCTTTATAAACTATGTTATACCAGTTGACCTAAATGTCCTCCTAGACTATGGTCCCCAGGTCCCAGCCCCAGCTACTCGGTCCCACAGAGTGTTTGGATGTGTCTAGGAAACTTCTGTACTTTTTCTTTAGTCCAGTTGTGCTGACTTCCCCTATTATATATTGTGTGTTGTCCTTCCCTTCACTGAAGTTAACACTTATCTACTATCTAGTTAGTGATCCCCCCCACCCCCGTAACCATCAAAGAATGCTTTTTTCTGTGTGTAAACCTTTTCTTGCGTTCTTATAATAGTGGTCTCATACACTATTTGTCCTTTCGTGACTGACTTATTTCACTCAGCATAACGCCCTCCCGCTTCATCCATGTTGTGAGATGTTTTGCGGATTCATCATTGTTCTTTATCGTTGCATAGTGTTCTGTTGTGTGTATGTATCATTATTTATTCATTTATCTGTCGATGGGCATTTAGATTGTTTCCATCTTTTTGCTGTTGTGAATAGTGCTGCAGTGAACATTGGTGTGCATATGTCTATTTGTGTGATGACTCTTATTTCTCTAGGGTTTATTCCTAGGAGTGGAATTGCCAGATCATATGCTATTTCTAGCTTTTTAAGGAAGTGCCATATTGTTTTCCAGAGTGATTGTACCACTTTACATTCCCACCAGCAGTGCATAAGAGTTCCAGTCTCCCCAGCCTCAGATTTTCTTAATTGGTAAGGTTGATACGGTTAATCCGAGCATCATTTGGTACAAGTCAAGTTTATATGTTTTTATTCCTTTCCTTTTAACTCAGCAACTATATTGAGTACTTACTACATTCTGTTGTTGTTCAAGGCACTGAGAGGATGAAAAACATAGACCTTACTCGCAAGTTTATAATCTAATGAGAGAAACGGAAAAGAAAACCACAGCTACAATACTTGAAATGCTGTGATAGAAGTATATACCTGGTGCTATGGAAGCAGAGTAGAGGTACTTAACCCAGCATGAGGACAGGCATCCACCAGGAAGATATGCCTGAACTAAGTGAGACAGCATTAGATAGAGAATGGAGGGAAGAAAGAGCATTCAGGAGAAAGATTAATTTATGCTAATAAAGCTAGATAATCAAGGAATTGTAAATAAATCTGTTTGGCTGGAGTCAGGGGTACTTATGGGGAAATGGCAGGAGAGAAGACAGGGCCTTGTGTATCATGGTTAGGAGTTTGAGGTTCTGAAAGTGGAGGGGAGCCCTTAAAGTATTTTAAGCAAGGAAAGATTTATTTTAAAAGTCTTTTGATCCATTTACTCTGTTTTTTTCCTCATTTAATTTTTTTTTTTTTTAATATTTTATTGTACTTCAGGTGAAGGCTTACAGAACAGATAGTTTCTCATGTAACAGTAACACACATGCTGTTTT